GAATCGTATATCTGTTTTGTCGATTCGTGAAAGCACATAAGACCGTGCTTAGTCCTTTGGTTTCCGAAGTAAGACAAATCTCCTCTTTAAAGCTTTTCTTTATAAGGATTTGAAAAGATGAATAGTGTTCGTATTTTTTAGGTCATTTCACGTTTGGCACCCTTGCTGGCCATGTCACCACAGTCCGATCAGATGTTGACAGCAGACGACCAAGCGTTTATCTTTGAAGCCACGGGGACGCTGATTGTCTTTGGAGAACTAGGAGTAGAACAAAAGGTGAGGAAAAATTCGAATATTTTTCGAGACTTCTCTTATTCTATTAGCAATTTTTCAGTCTATCTATATTGGAGAACTAGCCAACAAACTTGGAGAACGTTTCTTGACAGCCGTAACAGAACTGGAAGCAGCAAAATCAGCTCGCGATGCCCCAAAAACGCAAGTGATTCAGCAGTACATGACAAACATTGTGGGATACTGCAGGTAAGCGTTAGTACTTTTTAATCTTCACTTATTGGAACAATATTTTTGTTTACATCTTCTTCAAGGTTGGTACCTGTTTATGTCGAATATGTTAAATTGCAACAGTTCAGTTTTGCACTTTGATCGTAGGGATTAATCCTTTTTTTCAGCCGTCTCTCTAAAGCTTTCAATAACGCGAACTCGATGCAATCCTGCAGATGTGTCGATATTTACATGCGGTTGCTCAATGTAAGTTCACTTTGTAAAAGTTTTCCGGGTAAATGCAGCGTCATCAGCTCGTGACATCATTAATGCCTTCCCGCTGTTCATCTGTTTACTCACCACGTGCTATTTGCTACTGCGCGTCGTTATCGCATCACGCTTGCGCAATGCTGTGAAGTTAATTTGGTGGTGGACGGAAGGGACAATGTGGGTGATTTTAGCTATTCTTGGGTCATCTAACGACGGATAATTCGTTTTTGTTGGAATCGGTTCGACAGCTGGCGCATAGGCTGGTGGTATGTCTGGATTCAGAATTAATTCCAATTCTTCCATCATTGATGTCTCATCTGGCTGCGGTGAGTTTTATTACATATGTTTTTTTTTTCACAGCATTTCTTTTGCAAGCAGCTCAATATATATGGCTTTGTCAGTGAATTTTTTTGAGTTGGTTATTTTTTCCACATATCTATGAATGTTTATGAAAAGCGAATTAAGAGAGTAGGATTGATTTAGGTATCAACAGATTTGGACAGTATGAATCATCTCTTAATTCTTAGCCATCAAATTGTTGCCAAATTCAAGGTGAACATTCCTTAATTTCTATCTGCTAGATTTTCACTTGCTCTTCTTAAAAATTGTACTACAGAAGGATTGTTTACGATCGGGTGTCGATTTTGGCGCCATTCTTGCCTCAGCAGCTAGATTATCCATGGAAACTGAACCAACGCCCGCGCTACGTGCTCAAGGTAAATTTTGCAGATTCTGACCTTTCAGTACTTTTTCTAAAATCTTATTGTGTTTAGATGAGGCTGTCTACCGTAATCTGATCTATGTTCGTCGAGCATTTTTGCAGCTGTTTTACACATCGACGACATCTGATATGTTGTCAGAAATTGCAACTGGTCAGTTGTTTAACTTTATCTGTTGCCTTACAACGGCGATAAAGGAAATATTTTCTTTTCTTATATAAGTTGAGATTCTCTTCTTATCAGTTGTCACACCTTATTGAGGTGAGAGACACAT